GTTTGCATGTAGATGACCTGTGCATGGCCGGTGATGACACCTTTCGTAAGGCCGTGATTGAATCGATCAAAAAGGAATTTGCAGTAGGTTCTGAAGACACGAATGATATCATGTTTGTAGGACAGAGATTAGTCTGGAAGGATGCTACAGCATCAGTGCCAGCACATATCTCAGTAAATCAGAACCTAGCTGTTGAAGCTCTAGAAGAAATTGTTTTTGACAAGAAGCTCAACAATGAGCAACAATGCACACCACAGCAGCACACTGCTTATAGAAGTGTTTTAGGACAGATCAACTGGCTACAAAGCCGGACTCAAGCTCACATCTGTTATCGCTTCAGTAGGTGTGCGAGCAAGGCTGCCAAGCCTACTATCGGTGATATTCGAGAATTGAACAAACTTGTTAGGATTTTGAAGTCTACCGAAGTAGAATTGCGTTTTTGGCCGCTGAAAGGAAATCTCAGAATCCTCGGTTACCCTGATGCTTCCTACAGGAACAATGATGACAAATCATCTCAGAGAGCACATGTTATTTTCCTTGCTGAAGATCGAAATCCAAAGCTAAAGGGAATGAAACAATCAGCAGCAGCTGCTTCTTCCAAGAAGAACGATTTCTCTGAATCCTCTATTAAGGAAACATCCTCGAGAGGTAGCCTGGTGGATTATGAGTCTCACAAGATTACGACAACCACAATGTCCACAACAGTGGCAGAGCTTAACGCACTGATGCGTTGCTTTGGTACCTGCCTGTTCCTCAAGGGACTTTGGGCAGATCTCTCATCAGAGACCGTACCTATACATATCAGAACAGATGCGAACAATCTTGTGACAACAGCAGGCACGACACACCTTCCAGAGCAAAAGGAAACTCACCATCTTATACAGATGCTTCGTAAGGAATCCAACTCTGGATCATTAGATGACCTAGCTCATGTAAGCTCGAAGTACTGCCTAGCTGATGCATTAACAAAGCATTCGGCACAACCTGATGAGCTTATCAAGGCTCTGGAAACAGGAAACTTACCAGAAACAGACATTCATCCACCCTTCCGTGAACTTCTTCAACATAAAGCTTTCACTGTTCGGTGGATCATAGACAACCTTAGGAATGCCGCTACAGCGGTAGCCTTCCTTGGAATTGATGTCTCAACAGAGATTTACCGATTATTTTACTGCCAAGGAACATGGTGGTAGTCTTGTTTGCTGGTAGCACAACCATGTGCTGGATTTTCTATTTAGACTGTTTTTCGTCTAAAAGAAAATTTGTGTCTGCAGGCTGCGTTTTCATCAAGATCGGACATGTTCATGAGAACTATATGTTCTGTATCATCCGCAGCCGCTTTCAGCCTCGAGCCTCACAGCAATCAGCCTTTTGAGCTAACCAAGCATTCCTGATCCTGTTTGGTCATCGTGCCGTAATGAGCACACGATCAAACTTCCGTAGCCGTGATGGACACGCCCTACCCAGGGCAGTACAGGCGTACCATGAGCGACATCCACACATGGATAGCTCTTACCCCGAGTCTCGTCGGGAAGCATCACGTCGACACACCGAACACGGTGGACATCGATTTCACAAACGTGAGAAAAATAACGAGCCTCCATACATTTACATGGGTCACCAACAGGTGTTCAATCCGCGTCCAAGAGATCTTGCTGACCTGATCTTACGATGTGGCCATGCGAGTCGAGCAAGGCTCACTCCAATCTCCAGACATGGAGTCAGGCTCTACGAAGGAGTCCTCCAAGGACCATGGGACAACAGTCCCCTTTTATACTGGGATAACAACGTGGGCAATCACGCTCGTGATCCACGCCAGTTTTGTACGATGCTTGCACATCACCTTCAGACTGGCCTCCCACAGGAGGTAAAACAATGTGTGAGTCTTGATGCATCAGGAGAATATGACTATTCCTCCTCAGTGCCAAGACTGGTAGAGGTAACAGGTCTCTCACCAGAGATGTGCTTCCACATTCTTTCCAAGACCAACAGAGTCGGAAGGTGGTTGGCACACTCAACAAGACACCTTCAGAACCAGCGCCAAGATCTCTTTGCTGGCCAACACAATTATCTTCTGGATATGTCCAAGTTGGCCGATGCAGAGCTCGCACAGTATACACCACAAGAGATCGCGCTTGGTGTCCTCCTTAACACTAAGTCCAGGTTCGTGGTCACTATGGTTTATGACCAAGATGGCAAGGCCGAAACAACAGATGCCGCCGTTACCATCCCATCGGATGCAAATGTGCTGACCATGACCAAACTTTTCCTCTCGGCAGTGGGAGGACACGGTTCACGACGAACTCTACCAAGAGCTGAAGAACCAGATCCTGAAGAAGAGAGGCCAAGGTCACACATGACCATCTCAGACTTCATGGCAACGGGGAGCAATCCTGTGCAGTCTCATGCACAGCGTCTCTCCACTAACGCGCCAAGGCCCGTAGGCATGGAAGATTTTGTTCGACAGAACAACCCTTGTTACATCATGCATGCCACGGACTTACAGGCATTATCCTCAATCCTGAGGCATGGTCTGGTACCATCAAACCTCCTATCGCAGGTGGTTACCTCACCAGGTCTTCAAGCTCTCGTGAATGAAAACAGTCGTTCCAACAGGGACACTGTTCAGTTTTCAACGCTAAACCTGGCGAATCCTAATCCGACTTTGTTGCGTGCCAACAAGGCACTGCTCCTAGTATTCGACGCAAATAACGTAGTGAACGAAGTCACAAACATGTGGCAGTCGCAAGCAGGGATGTTTGCTACACCAGAGGTAGTGCATGCCCGTACTCTTAGCGCCGTATTTGCACCCTCTGAAACACTCTGGGTATCATCGCAATACGATGAGCTCAAGAGCATCGGACCATGGTGGGCAGACCACTGCTCCGAACAAATGCCGTCAGCGACTTACGAGTCGAAGAAATGGTGCTCAAATTACGGCAAGGAGATCGAATCGACACTTCGCAAGATGTCAAGGCGAAATCTGCCTCCAGAGCCTCCCAAGGCTAGATCTTCTCACAAGAAGTCTTTCTCTCTGCCAAATACAGAGGCTGACACAGCTCCAAACCAGGAGCAAACCGCTTCTGCAGGTGAAGTACCTCCGAACACGGAAACTACTGCAAAGGAGATCCACCCGAGATCCAAGCTCGCCCGGCAGGCCGAGGCCGACAAGGATCCGGACAGTCTTATGGGACAGCTCTGGAACTCCGACGGCACCAGAAGCGCCACTGAAGTTCTTCAGATAACGACAGTTCACAAACCTCCAGAACCTGTCCAGGATACTTCTGCCAACGTAGTTCCTCCCAAGGAAGAATCTTCTGGAACAGAGACGGAACCTGAGGAACCAGATCCTAACCAGGATTGTGACGAAGAATCAGACGTTGAGTCGGCATCAAGCGAAAAGAGCGAGAAGAGCGAAAAGAGCTCAAAATCTTCGTCATCCTCAGAACTCCGAGTTGATGTTAATCCGTCTCACAAGACGAACTCTGCACCTGCAGCGTCAGAGGAGAAGAAAGAATCTCCCACGGAAGAGATCACAGAGAAACTTGAGAAGGTCAAACTTGACCAACCAAGGCCTGAAACAGAATATGTTCAGAGCTCAGACGAAGAGCCAAGAAAACCAAAATCTCCTAAAAAGGAGAAGGAAAAATTCCTAGTTATCTTCGATCCTGAAACAGAAACCTATTATCGAGTCAACAGAAGCAAGCTCAACCTCGAATACGAGGAGCCTGCTGATGAGGAAGACCTCGTAAGAGAACATGAGAGCATCAGCGCTCGAATTCGAGAAAATCGCAAGCACCGAATCTCGAAGTCATCGTCTAACCCGGCTATGCAACAGGAAATGCAAGAGAGAATCTGGGTTAGTCGATGGAATCGAAAAATCCGAAGTCCACTCATGATCAAAGATTCTGAGGCTGCTGACGAAGAGGAGTGGGACAGACCCAGAGAGTCGGCATCTTCCTCCTCTGCACCTCCTAACAAGGAGAGATTTGTAGGAGTACGCAGGACAGCCATGAGCCTTAAACAAAGGATACGAATGTTGCCTCGACCAGACAATCCTCTCTGCGATCTCTGCAAACAGCCTACAGGCTATTTTTGCTATTCCTGTGGAACGATTGTATGTGCAGACTGTCGACTTACCCCACAGGGTAAACAACGGATGTGCGAGTGCGTCTTGCCGATCGATTGCCTTGAGACCTCCAAAGTGAGAGCAGGAATGACCTCAGAAGAGCGTCAGTTTTTATACGAGGCCATCCTCACACATGAGGACGTAGATTTGGAAGTCCAGAAAATCAACATGTATTGCGACCACGCAAGAAGTCTGTT